TTTTTATGACCTTGTGTACTGAGAGTACCAGACCCTTGGAGGAAACCCAAATGAATTTTACCAGGCCTGGCTGTGGGAACCAGACTTAGTAAGTGCTTATGGAAAGATGGATGTTGAAGATGTTTCAGAAGCAATAAAACCCCAGGGCCTGCCTCTGTAGGTCTCCAACATCCTAGGTAACGGTAACATTATCTAGGAACAGGGACACTCAGAACATGGAATTAGAGAAAACGATTCCACTGGATATTTCTAAATGCTGTTCTGAGGTATGGTAGCTATTGATTTTTTTTTCCTTTTCTTTTTGGTACCATTATGTGACTTTAGTGAAGCCAAGTCTGAACATGTCTGAGCCTTAATATTCTTCCCCTGTCCTCTCAGGATAATAATTTGAATATACCTAATACTAGGCCTGGCACATAAAAGGTACTGAACAAGCATTGGTTCTCTTTTCTGTCTGCTTCATTTTTATTCCCAGGGCTTCTCTCTTACTGTTAGCTAAAGTTTCTAATATATTGTGTTCCCATAAACTTCTCTCAGAATAACTTTGCTGTTCTGAGCTCCCAGGGAAGACAGAATCTTAATGTTGCTCAGTGAAAATTTCCCTAGGGACAAACACTCATGTTCTCCAAAACAAGGAAGGACTAAATTCCAGTTCCTGAAAGATGTCGGCCAGAGATTGGTTGGCTAATACACGGTTATTCCTCATGGGTTTCATCTGCCCAGCATAGAAGGACAATGAATTGTTCTGTTCTCTGAAGGACACACATTTCACAAAATAATAAGTTAATCTTGTTATTAAATCTGTGCTATATTCGGTATTAGGAAGGACATTTTCTTATAAACTGAACAAAAGGAAAAGGCAAGGTTAATGACATCTTTGGTGACTGGACCTCCACCCAACAGGTCACCATAAAACCCTTGATGTCCCCTGCTTGATCATCCCTGCAATGAAGACTCAGGATGAAAGACCTCCTTGCAATGGCTCTTGGTGTCCATGTGAAGACCACCAAGTGAGGGTCTACCTCCCTCACCCTGAATGAAGAACTGCTCAGGGTTTATCAGATACCTGCAACAAATTACCCCGAGTCTAGAGTTCCATCATGGACTGTATTTACAGAACATGCCACCTGAAAAGTTGGGAAGAAAGTACTTGAGGTCAGGTCTAGCACTTCTAACGGCAGCCAAACTTGAGACCTTCACAGTTTAAAGACCCAAGGTCCACTGTCCTGTCGTAGCCAGGCCCACTTGAATTCTTTTAGAACCTGTTTCCTTTAATAAATTGCTTGGCATCTTCCATGTTTGCTTTGAGTTCTCTCCAAAGTAAGGGGCTATTTTATTTTTGGCAGTAACAGTAAACATCTTTCTGCCCATCCCTCTACAGGAATTTAACCCACAGTTCTTGTTACTGGTAGAAATTCTATCACTGTGTGACAGATGAGTAAGTAAGTGTGTTCCACGGCCCTTCCCCTTGTACTTTAAGGTAGGACTTCCTTGTGCATTTCTCTCATACCACCAGTCAGATCTTTAATGGAAAACAGTTTAGTGTTTGACAGCTCTGAACCATTTTTTTTTCTTTCTCTTTTCAACCAGTTTCTTTACACTGTCTGCTTAAAAACAGGAAACCACACATCTCCACCCCAGCACAACCCACCTTCCACCAAGAGTCCATATCAGTTTGTATCTACAGGCTTTCGGTTTCTGAGCTTGGCCAAATGCCTGCTCCTGCCTTGCAGGAGACTCTTCCAGGCACTCCCCAGCAGGTATCTTCGTGGCCCTTCTCCAGAACATTCAGGATTGCATCTCCCCTCCCTCCACAACTGTCTCCCCTGAGTCATCCTTACCACTCCTGCTCTGACTTCCTCTTCTCTGCAGAACTGTTCCAGCAGCAGCTTTAGCGCTTTCTTATCATTAGGTTTGTGTTAAAAAAAGAATGCCACCCCCCCAAGCCCCTCCCAAAATCTAACTGTGGAGGGCAGTGGCTTAACTCAGTGACTTCCTACATCGCTCTGCACCCACCTGGAGCCTCCCCACCCCGAGGCATTTCAACTCACATTCAGTGCTTCACGTCTCTGTCCGGGGTGCCTCTGTCTCTCAACTCTGACTTCTGAGTACTGGCAGTTAAAACAGGAAGGAAGTTAGTGAGAAAAAAAAAAAA